AAAGAATTTTAATAAATTAATTTCTACGAGTTAAATAGAGCTTAAAATAGCATAGTCACAAGTTCAAAAAAAGTTATGCTTAAAAATTTTTATTTTGTTTTTGCAAATATATTATAATTTTTGCTATTTTAAATATTTTAAAAATAAATATCACAAACATTACTCTTATCATCTTGCCAGTATTGCCTTTATTGTCGTCGCCAAATCATTTAAATCAACTAAATTATTATTTAATAATAAATTTTTATATTTAAATATTTATTTTTTATTAAATATTTAAATAAAATTGAACTAAAAGTGATAAAAAATTATACATATAATTCTTCAAAAAAAGAAAAAAAAAAAAAAATCCATTAGTAATTTGAAGGAGGAAAAGTGTGCAGCTGATTCTAAACAAGACATTTTGTCCGTGTAAATTAATATATGCCCGAAAATTTAATATTATTTACCGTCATTGTCAATAAACGTAAAACCGGACAAAAAAGTCGGCAGAATAGCAGCACTATAAAGAACTATTTTCTTGTGGGCTTCATTTGTCCTCTCTTACTACAAAAAGAGTCCGTTTTTTTAATGTTGTAAAAAGTAAAATTCAAGGATAAAAATGATGAGCACTATAGGAAAGAATTTCAAAATATTTGTGAGATAATTTTTGAAAAAGGCAAAAAAAATTATGGGGATTTACATACATATCACTTTCCATTATATTTTTTTACATATGTGACACCTAAAAATTTAATATTTTATGTCTACTGTCGTCGGACCACCATCCAGCCGTCTATCATCGTTAGACCATTGCTCATCCACTGACCTCCGTCAGACCACCGCCTGGCCACCGATCGCTGCTGGATCATCGCCGGACCACCAATTGGCCGTAGGCCATTGTCGGAGCTCATTTGCTGATCGACGTCAGACCTCCCATCGACTACCGACTGCCACCAGAAAAAATAGTTTGGCAAAGCACATTCAACTAGCTCATTCATTTCACTATTGTAAATTATACAATAGAAAAAATAGTTTCTCTATATTGGCAATAAATACAAATTTATTTTATTTCACCTAAAGGTTCATTGCATAAAAAAATATATTTAAGAAAATATTATCATTCATTTTTATTTAATTTTCAAAGTAAAAGTGAAATTACCATTTTTAGTAAGATATGTATGATTTGGAATGAATATTAATATATAGTTACATTTAATTAAATGATAAGTTTAATAAATTTATCAACTTATTTAAATATAATTTATCTAATTAAAAGAAAAAAATAGTCCTAAGTAATAACAACCTAACTTTATCAAATAAAATCATTGTTCAATAAAAGTAAAGGCAATATGGTTTAGACTTTAAATAGAATAAATTGTTAGAAAATTTTTAAAAAATAATAATAAGAAGATCAAATGTTCCAATTTTATCATCAAATAAATGAATAATCCAAAGTCATTTAATGTCTGTTTATTTGGCATCTATGTATATGGATGTTTATTGTCCAATATTAGAAGACATGTAATTGGAGACCGTTCACTTATATTTTACCGGTATATCCTCTATTTAGGATTTTATAAGAGGCATGAAGACTTCATTGATGCATATGAAAATGAGACTCGAAGGAGAAATAATTTTCTATTATAAGATTTTGTTTTACCTACATATTCTTATTAGCATATTGAATCAATAATTTTTCATCGATAATTGAAAATCCAAATGAATTTGCATTTCTAAATCTATTCAATAGAGTAGCAATGAATCTACTTGGTCTAAATACTTTGTAATCGTGTTCTTTTTTCAAAGTAACCTTTTACCCTTATATAGTGGATGTAGGACGTCATAAGACCAAACCACATTGACTCTCTTATGTCGATCAATGTTATTTCTTTATTATTTGTAAATGTTTATTGATTGATTGATTGTAACAATGTATAAAGACTATTTGAGTTATGACAACTCAAATAAGAATCTTTTAACTCTTTCTTCAAAAAAGGGAAAAAATTGATGCCTCATCAAAGATAACTAGGGAAATGCCACAAATGAAATCTAACTTTTTATTTGAAATGCCCATTCAAGTGGAATAGACATAAAATCTTAGCCTTTCTTGTACACCATGCACATGCCATAAATTGGCAACGTTCATTTTTTTTTGGCTCAACAAATATTTATAATCGTGTTTGTGATTTTGATAATAGATTACTTCAAGTTGCTTCGCCTAATGTAGAAGCTAACTAAGAAGAGATAAAAGAGAAACTTCTATACCTACATTACGATTATGACCACAGAATTGTTGAGTGTTAATGTACTAATATCCCTCATAGAGAAAGTAATACCTTAGGATCTAATGGAAGAAATGAATGTCTAATCCTAAACTTCAACTTAACCACAACATAATAAACCAAAGATATCTATTAAATCCCAAATGATAATACCAATAAAAATATCATTTCATTTCATTCTTAAAAAAAGATCTACAATAATCTAGCACTTATAAAATCTAAACATCGAAAAAATTAATAATGGATTATAAAAGAATACCTTAGCTATTTTGATTTGGTTGATCTTGGCTCTACATTTCTCTCACTCCACTAGGCCTTTTCCTTTTTCTAAAACTTCAGAGAATATCATAAGATGAGCATAACAAGTTCAGTAGACTTATATCATCAACCCATCACATATATCAATATCTATTTTAAAATTTTAACAATTCATCAATGATATATAAAAAAGCCATATACTATCATAAGTAATTATTAAGATATACTTGGATTTGAAACAACTACTTGTACTTCCACATAATCTTATTACTTTTATAGAGCATTAGAGGTGTTAAAGAATACTTGGTGTTAGAATATTTCTTCCATTTGACTATCTTATTTCATCAAAATTCATTTAGAAACATTAGAATCTACCATAACCAACTCAAAATATAATTTTTACTTTAATTATTAGATTAATAAGTTATGCAATGCATGAGTATAATGCATGCGTCTTGATGTATGCTTATAATTCGACTTCTACTTATAACACCCTTTAATCTCCCACACTCGCATACAATAGGTGGGGCGGTAACAGAATAGAATAACCTCCCACCCTCGTTTTCAGCAAGTCGGCCTAGAATCCCTCTCACATTCACACAAGGAAAATGAGGTCAGACATGGCTTATAGAGCCCTTATATCCTTAGAACTCCACTAATTCCATGCCATGAATTATACAAATTAATTAAATGCAATAGTATCTTATTATAACATTAACATATAATTGTGATGATGCATGAATTACCAAAATTATCATAGTAAGCCACATTACATGTATAAAAACCTACTCACTAGACATTTTTTATTTCAATTATAACTGGTAAGAAAGTTAAAGATGCCTCATTTATTTATACACGTATAAATCAACATAGGGAAAACCAAACCGATTAAAATCCTACTTCTTATAGTCAGCGTGTTCATGATAAAGCATACAATAATATATTAAAGTTACAAAATGAAAATGTTAGAAATCCCGAAGAAAATAATTTTAATTCATAACTTTTTATAAACTTACTGAAATTAAAACCAGAGGTAGAAGTTCAGGATTCTAGCTCGTGCTCAATGAAATCCTTAAGTGGCTTGATCGACTCTTTCAACTTCTTGGCCTCTGAATCCCTCTCTCTATTCTTTCACGATTCTTCTTCTCCTCTCCTCTTCCTTTTCTTTCTTCTCTAGTAATGAACTAGTATGGAGGTTTAGCAAATTAATTAAGATGTACTTTGCATTTCTTTTTGGCTTTTTTCATGTATAAATAAGATGTACTGAGCACTATTCAAACCAAGCAAACAATTTATGGAAAGTGGTCTCTTGGATCAATAGGGAGATTTCTATTTGTTTGAGATTTAGGGTGCTCTACTTTTCTTATGCTATACACAAACAAAATTTTTTTTTTGGGCAATTTATGGGACGAGCTGAGGTTAGGGGTGTCAATTCAAGTCAACGGGTAAGGTTCGGGTCGAACTCAGAATTGACTCGATCCTATTTGACATGACTCGAATCCGACCCGTTTTTGCAAACATGTTAGAAACTGCAAACTGGATACGACCCGTCGGGTTGTCGGGTTGACACGACTCGACATGAAAATTGTGGGTCGCGAGGCCGAGGCGTGTGAAGGCGAGGGTTGCGAGGCCAAGGCGGACTATAGCCAGGTGCCTACATGCCGCGTGTTGCATGCCGCGCCCTGCGTTGCCTCTTGAGGCCCGACCGAGGAGACGAGGCGGCGTATCACTGCGGCCTGCCGTGTTGCCTCTTGCTGGTGTGTCCCCATGCCTGCGTGCAGATTGTAGAGATGGCTAGGCTTGGGCGTGACCGCATGACATCGTGAGAGTCGCGTGAGGGCGGGATATGTCACATGTTTCTGGAGCTGGACCGGAGTTAATTTATGGTTGATTTCGGATTTTCGGGTCAACCCGAACCCGACCCATTTTTTTAAACAGGTCAAAAAATTGAACCCGAACCCAGATTTTTTCGGGTCGGGTTTGAGTCATGTTTCGGTTCGTGTCAATTTTTGACACCTCTAGTTGGGATTAGTGGGAGGAATTACTTGCCATCAACCACTGCGCCACACACTCACCCCAACAAATAAATTCATATCTTACAAAGTATAAGTCAAAATTAAATATTTTTATTAAAATCATATTTCAATATATACTTTAAACTATTTTATTTAAAATAAACAAATGATTTTTTTGGGTAAATTGAAAATAAACAAATGAAATCAAAATTAAAAATAAATCCGGAAATTGACAAAAGATCCCGACCTCCGCAACACGACGCGACCAACTCCCCTGCCGGATGGCGTGCACCCGCAGCAAAACCGACCCCACCCGCGTTTTCCGTGACTGGGCCCCACTCGCTCTCTCCCACTTGTCTTTTCTTCTCGCCTCGGCTTCCTCCAGTAAATATTTACCCTCCCTCTCTACCCTATTTTACTAAACTACCCCGTCGCGTGCGGTATAATCCTCCCGAGTCCCGACCCGAGAAAAGGGTCTCTCAGTCCTCACTTCGCCATTTCGAATTCAAAAACCTTCTGCCTCGCAGCTTAACTCCACGCCGAGGCAAGAGAGAGAAAGGAAAGGAAAGAACCGAGAGAGAGAGCGAATGTGTGCCGTTTGCTTCTCACGTCTGCTTGCAACGCCCTCATTTAATGCATCTGCCTACTATTGATCGATCTCCCTTTCATTTCCTTCTCTGGATCTTTCTCCATTTTTACCTTCTCCACGCCGGACTCTTTCTTCTCTGCTAAAGTGCAATTCTCTTCTCTTCGAGCTTCGCGTGGGGGCGAGCTCTGGATAGAGTATTCGGGCTTTGCGCTGGAGAGAGATGCACCTATCGCGGAGTAGAGAGAAGCATCGCAGGGCTTCTGTTGCGAGGCCCGATTCGCCGTCTGCCGGCAGTACTCTTGCCGAAGGTTTGTCTCATGTTGTTTCCTTTCCTTTTTGGCTTCTGTGGGGAATTGATTCTTGGGCCAGAATGATGGAATGTAGGGTTTTCGTTGGTTCTTCATATAATTTGGAGCTCGTGATGCCTAGTTATGAATTTAAAATTTTACGGTGCGTTATATCAGACGTATATCTGGGATTCTCAGCTTTTCTTGAGTGAGAGGTTTAGCTAGGATTTTGTTTTTTAATTTATTCCTATTTCCTGCCATACTGACAAAATTTGGTGTAGGAAAGTTAAATAAATATGAGATTTGGTTAATTATGCTCAATATTGCTCACATGATGTGAAGAAAACATTCCTTCGCGCTTCAAACACTTTTTTTTATTATTATTTTTAATTTTTACCAAAGAGCAGCTATAGCGTGACATGTGCTTTGTTTCTGTCGCTCTTGAACTCTTCTGGTCGCGCGGTTGTTCATTTTCGTTACGGGTTTCTGTACTTAACTTTTCTTGAGTTTGTTCTGCTCTTATTAAGCTCGTGTATAGCTTAGTACTCTATTAAAGTCGATTTGGGTTTTTCTTTTCTTGCCATTTTCTAAGGATCAATAAGATTAGGATAATTCTGTACCCATATGAAGTTTGCATTGATGAATCATCCAATTCTCATCTGCTTTCATCAATTATATTTAAGACTTCCGCCAAGTTGATGGAAGTACTTTTACAGTCGCAATTTATTTTGTTCGATTAAAGAGCACGGTCATGTTATGCGGGAATTTCAAGTAGTTTAATTTCCTTTTTTTGCTATTTGAGTTGAAATTTATTTTGGTAGATGGGATTAGTTTGGGATATTGTTAACTCGAAATTCCTTGGCTTTCATCATGTATGGTAATTTGATTAGTCCTTTTGTTTGAGAAAGCCAACATAGTCTGATGTGAATTTGTCTAAGACATATTAACTGCTAATGATGCTGATAAGCTTTTGCTATGAACACTCCCAAAAATGTTCTTGTTGTTTTTTTCTTCGAAGTTTCAGAAATTAATTTGCTATAGAAGCAGTGCACATTTTTCTATCTAAGGCTTTGTTTGGGACGGCTTTTTTACTGCTATTTAAAATGGAGTTTTATTACAAAAATAAAAAATTTTGTACTAAAACTCCATTTTAGAAAGCAATAAAAAAGCCGTCCCAAACGAAGCCTAAGTTTCCAATGAGCTCTTTAGACTAATAATCAGAAATTAAGCACGTAAATGACATCAAAAAACTAATTTTCCATTACTCATGGTTGGTTCTGAAGAAGTTTCAGGAGTTTTTGTATGAAATAATTTGCTTTATTTCAGCAAATGCTCATTCCAAGAGCCGGATCAAGTTGTTGAGGACAGAATATGATTCGAATTGTGAATGTGGCTCACCTGAAGAGACAAATTCAGTAAGTTTACCTACTGGGTTTTTTTTTTCTGCCATCTTTTTAAAACCATTTTATTTATACTTCCACTCTTTTTTTTTTTCAAAATAAAAAGCATGTTGTGCTATCTACAAAGCAGCTAATATTGATTTTCTTCTTTTTTTTTGGTACCAGATAACCCTTGAGTTCAAGAGGAATTATTCTAAGAAGGCCAATGGAATGCCAATTAAAGCATTGATAGATGAAGAGATGTCAAGGAAAAAGCACATAAAGAGGTCATCACCAAGTTTGATTGCCCGGCTTATGGGCCTTGATGCACTGCCTTCCCCTGGGACTGTAAAGCCATTGAAAGAAGTGAGAAGCTCTTCAAAGAATGCGCTGTCCAATGACTTTCAAGAAAAGATCACCACTCATGACTGTTCACTTCAGTCGAGCTATGACGAGCAGCAAGAGTTTAAAGATGTCTATGAGGTTGTGCAAGTGCCAAAGGTTGAGAAGCAGAAAGATCGGACAGTTAAGAAAGGAACAGCTAGCTTGAGACAGCGTGAAATTGATAAGGTGTTCATAGGACATCACTTCATTGACGCAACTAGCCTTTCAACTGGTGGAATACCTCAGAGATCTAAAGAGCTGGTTGATTCAGAGGAGGACCTAGATCTCAATAGGGACATTTACTTGCCATTTCTTAAAGAACCTTCAAAGCATCAACACAACTTGACTAGCTCTCCATCCCCTCCACATGCTTTCCACCCATTAATTCTAATGGCATCTAAAGATAGTCCAACTGCAAGCTGTCAGTCATCTTTTGGATCAGAAAAGAATGTTGATAGGAGTATTAATTTACAAAAAGATGATTCACAATCTTTTAGGAAACTTGCAGCTAACAGCAACAGTCACCCATCAAGGGAGCATATGTGCTCTCTGCTGAAAAAGTTGTCAGAATCTACACATTCTGATAAAGATGAATATTGTGCCCAGCCTACTCAGATTGTCATTCTTAAGCCGAGTCTTGATAAAGCTCGGAAGGCAGAAAGAATTATCCCATCAGCAAATTCATTGAATAATCTTCAGTATAATCTTGCTCATAATTTAAAATTTCCTGTCCATGATATTACGGAGTTTTCTGATGAGGAAAGAGCTCGGAGAAAATTGCATCACACTACAGAAATTATGGGGCGCAAGATAAAGGGATCGAGAGAAATTTCTAAAGAGGTTACCAAACAAATGAGTACTTCAGCTTCTAAAAGAAAGAAAGTTTCGGTTCCAAATTTAAATGACTATGAAAAAGATGGAGGTTCATGTACTACATCAAGCATCATGACTGGGAACAACTCTCAGTCTTCTCTCTTGACTTCTAATCTCTATGCGTCTAGTAACAATTCCAATTATTCATCATCTTTTCTAACCGAGTCATCAGTCACTAAGGAGGCTAGAAAACGCCTCTCAGAAAGGTGGAAGTTGACCAACCACTTTCAGGAAATGGGCTTCTCAAACAGAGCATCAAGTACTTTGGCTGAGATGTTAGCTTTGTCTGACAATGAAACATCTAAGATGACCTTAGATACATTAGCTGTCAAGAAAGCCCCAGAAAGAAAATTGGTTAGACAAGATTTTCCTGAACTTAAAAATCATCCTTTGGGAATCAGCAGTAAGGATGGTTGGAAAGATAATTTCTCTAGGAGGCTACCAAGGTCCAATTCTCTTCCAGCTTCATCTTTAATTTGTGAAAATTCTCAATGGAACTCCAGAAACCGGTCAGGCAAAAGTGTCAATAGAATTATGCACAAAAAGGTAGAAGGTACGAGCAACTGGGTGTCTCTCGATGATGAATTCATTAGGCACAAAAATAAGTCACGCAGAAACGGTAAATATGTCAGTAACAAAGACAAGCATCATTCAGATGGGGAAGAAAATACATTAATTGAACGGGAGATTCATGTGAGTTCAGAAAAACTCAAAAATAATAATGATTTGAGACACGCTTCTGAAAAACATACAGCTTTTGAGCTTCCTGATGATTCTACCGGTGAAACAAGGGATATGGCTGACAATTTGTCAGTTTCTCGAAGTAACACGGACAACTCTTCTTTAACAGATCGAGAAGATGGGTTTGAGAAGCTTCAGGACCTCACTAATGTAGAAAAGAATGTGAAATTGTCAGAGTGTGATAAACATGGGCTTGCACTGAAGGTAAGCTTTTAGTTTTTTTTAGGGGTTTCTGATCGTCTGGTTTGAATTTTACTAAAACTCAGCGGAAAAATACCTTCTAACTGCATTCATAATTTTTTAAGCCATAACAATAATCCATGAGAGTTATTTTCCCTCGCTGTTTCATTAATAGCAGTTTATTTCTTACACGTGTTTTCTTATCATCATCATCACTATGATCATTATGATTATCATCATTGTTATGGAGTTCTTTAATCTCCTCCATTCATAGTGGTAATCGAAAATTAAGTGTTGTTTGGTTTGTTAATTTTCAGATTCTAGCCTACCAGTATGAGCATGTTTCTTGCAGCAAACCTGTTTCGAATGCTTCATTCTTGAATGTTTAGAGCCCCATTTGGAGATTGTTGATTTATGTTTGATGATCTTTCTTATAATTCCATTCTTGTCCACCTATTGTTCTGACTTAGGCACAAATTTCTATGTGAACATGCTTTGATTGGAAGGTGCTTTAAATAAAATTAAATGCTTAGTTTTAAAAAAATGATTTTTAAAACTTGAAGCACCTGTTTTTTTCTCCAATTTTACAATCATATTTTCTTTTACTGTGATATGGTGCTAGCGGCATGTTGAAGAGTGTAACCATAAAAAATAAAATTGGGGTACTTCCCCTTTGCTCAAAATCAATTTCAACCCACATGAGATAGTTACATTTATAAGTGATGATCAACACTAGTATATCGTAAATAATTTATTTTCTTATCATCCAATGTGAAACTAAACTAATAGCGGCACATGCCTCAACAGCCTTCCCCTCTCACACCGAATTCTCCTCATAATCCACATTTTTCCGGACAAGTTGGAAACCACCACCACCACCAAAACAATAACAACAATCCTTTATCCCACTACGGGGGAAAACCATTTGACAAATTAACTTGACTAAAAGATGCCAAAAATGCTAAAAAATGTCCCTGTGCTATAGCTGCAACTGTTACTTTTGTGGTGTCACTCAAGTTGCACCACCAAGGGATGCCCAACTACTTGAACCATGCATCAATCAATTGGACCCACAAAATCTTGGCTTTGATACCATTTTTCAGAGGGTTGACCAAAGCGTGAACAAGTTGTGACTAGTACACAAATGACCAAAACCCATTTTCAATTTAAACTTTAAGCTGGTGACTGAATACCGCACTACTACATTTACAATAATATATTGTGATATTAAACTCAGTATTCTCACGTTCCAAGTTCCAATGGGGCATTAATTATTTTCATTATCCAACAAAAAGAAATGATGACATAAAATTGATACAATTGTAAAAATGTTGTCCTATTCTTTCTTTCAATGTGTAAATCTAGAAATACAACTATAAAAAAATATGCTTTATGCTATTTTTGAGCAGGAAATTGGTTTCTCTAATGCTAATTATATATATATATATATATATATATATATATATAAATAATTATATATATATATATATATATATATATATATATAAACTAAGTGTATGTGGAACCTAGAGGTGACGCTTGGTGCATACTATATAGCTGCCGTGTGATATAATTTTGAATTGAATTTAGGTAATTTTGAAAGCCAATTATATGCCATACATATCATTATTTTAAAATTTGAATATTAAGTATGATATGTTAAGAATAGAATGGAGGAGTTTTTGAGCTTTCTTGAGCTCATCTTGCAAGAGAGGGAGATGGAGAGGGAGGAGAGAGAGGTGGTGAAATCTTGGGAGTTTGAAGAAGGCGAACCCTTCTTGTTCTCCTTTATCTAGTTCTTCTTCTTCGAGAAAGACAATCGCAAGGGATTGTCAGTTGGAATCAAGTTTTATGCTGTAAGCTATTTTGTTCGGGTTGTTTGAGTCGGGTGTGAGAGCAAGAAAGTGCTAGATCTTTGTTAATGGTTGTTTTGGGCTTGTGGAAGAGAGAAGATGTGGGAGTTGAAATCTTGGGATTTCTATGTGTGTGAATAAGATGAACCCTTGTTCTCATCTAGCTTGTTCATCATCTCTGAGAAAGATAATAGATCGTGATTGTCGGTTGGAAGCCTGTTGGTACCGTAAGATCTTGTTCCTTAGATGAATGCTAGAAGTGCAGTTGCTTTTTCTCCTTGTAGATTAGGATGTTTTATTTGTTGATACCTATTTCTGTTCTTGATTTTGGGGATACGTCCCTTGGTTCACCCGATTTATTGTTTTTTGTTGCTCCTGATTTAAAGATCTAGTTAGATTTTGAGTGATGCACATGTGGTTCTTTTATTGTAAATCTGGACTAAAGTGAAGATTGTGAAGTGTTGGTCTAATTTTAGTTAGATTATTCCTGCATGTTATCACAATTTTTTAAAACTCTATAAATAGATGCATTATGTGATGTAAAGATTTGGGAAAAATTTAATAAAGCTTTAGGTAGTTTTCCTCTAAATTTTCATCTCTCTCTTCTCTTCTCTCTCTTGGGTTTTAAGAAAATTTAGGAGGATCTTTGAGAGCTCATCTTGAACTCTTCTTGCAAGAGAGAGAGGGAGAGAGAAGAGAGCGAGACAGAAATTTGGAGGAGGAAAGCTACCTAAAGCTTTATTAAATTTTCTCAAATATTTACATCGCATAACGCCTCTATTTATAGAGCTTTACAATGTTGTAGTAACATATAGGAATAATCTAACTAAAATTGGATCAACACCTCACAATCTCCACCTTGGTCTAGATTTATAATCAAAGAACCACAAGTGCATTTCTTAATATCTAACTAGATCTTTAAATCAGGAGTAGCAGGAAATAATAAATTGGGTGAATCAGGGGATGTAACCCCAAAACCGAGAGTAGCAACATGTATTAACAAAAAAAAATCTCCTAATATACAAGGAGAAAAATACATGCACTTCCAGCATTCAGCTAAGGAACAAGATCTTACGGTACCAACAGGCTTCCAACCGACAATCACAATATATTATTTTTCTTAGAGATGAAGAACAAGCTAGAGGAGAACAAGAAAGGTTCACCTTCTTCACACACACTGAATCCCAAGATTTCACCTCTCCATATTTTCTTTCTTCCACAAGCTCAAAGAAACTGTTAATAAAGATCTAGCCCTTTCTTGCTCTCATTCCCAACTCAAAGAACTTGAATGAAAGAGCTTACAGCCTAAAACTTGCTTCCAACTAACAATCCCTTGCGATTGTCTTTCTCGAAGAAGAAGAACTAGATAAAGGAGAACAAGAAGGGCTCACCTTCTTCACACACACAGAAATCTCAAGATTTTACCACCTCTTTTCCTCCTCACTCAAGAAGCCAAGACGGCACAAGCCCTAAACCTTCCCCTTTGAATGACTCCTACTCTCAAAAAACCTAAACACAGGAAATCCCTTAATCCGATATCTGCTTTGGTTTTTCTTTCTTGATCCATTATCCAACACACCAACAACCAAAATATCCTGAAGCACCACCTCTAGTCGTGTGAACAACCATGTTTCAAAGTTATGTTCTCATCTCCCTTCCTTAAACCTGACCAAACCTGCATGCAAGGTTCTCCGTGCCTGTTCTAGCGCACATCACCGGCCTGACTAGCAAAACCCATCATCCTGCACTTGCCCTTCACTCCCTGCACATGAGTACTGCCCATCTGCGACTAACCTTTCGAGCATCACCTCCCTCTTGGCTGTACCTTGCTTTCCCGAGTCAAAGCCCACGCCCGAACCAGCCTTCAGCCCGTCGTCGCCTGCATTTCGCATGGTTAACTTTCAAATTTACCCAGCTCCACCTCAAACAATTGAACGGATCTTTAGTAAAGAATAAGAAATATTTTGAATCTTTGGCCTGTCTTGATCACCTACTCCCAATCTGTCTAGATTCACTCAGACATCTCTGGCATTTCTTGACCGACGTTTCCATACAAGCCTCTCAATCGAGGCAGTTGTACGAATCGCAAGAACCGCACCCGACCTGTGCCTTTCGACAGTCTGCAACCTGAATTCCACACGTGAACTGTACAGGCACCTTACTACATAGCTACATCTCGCGAGGTCTCCTTGCGCTCGATTCGGGCGGCCCGACTTCGGTTCCCTCTGTCTGACTCTCGTTACCGAGCAGCACGCACACCAGCCCGAGCCCTGCGTCGTCCTTGCCATGCGCGGTCAACTCGCCCGGCTCGATCTGCCCTTGGAGGATCTACGCTGTTAGAGATCATCCTTCTGCAACAATTCCTAACTGAATAGACCCCTATTGCCGGTCTTCCACACACAAGCGACCTGTCCAATTGATCTCTTCACGCAAGCAAGGCCGCATGCCACACCTCATGCACGACACAAGGCCTGATCCCATCCAATCTGTTCCGCGTGCAGCTCATGTCTGGTTTCTTCGGGTGCGTCAATGTTTGTGACTCCTCTCTTTCTTGTACAAGAACTTTCTACTTCCTCCCTCGATCGTCTCAACGAGGCTCTGATATCAAATGTTAAGAAATTTTAGGAGGATCTTTGAGAGCTCTTCTTGAGCTCTTCTTGCAAGAGAGAGAGACAGAAATTTGGAGGAAAACTACCTAAGATTTTATTAAATTTTTTCCAAATCTTTACATCACATAATACCTCTATTTATAGAGTTTTACAATATTGTGGTAACATTCAGAAATAATCTAACTAAAATTGGACCAAAACTCAATATCTTTGAAAACAGAAATAGGGTTCGGAGTCCTTACCACGAGATCTTCACTTTTCCCAACAGCAGCGTCGGACGAAAAGCGCTCCGCGGCCTCCAAAATCAGTAAGGGAACGAGGTCTCACAACCTCATAATATAAAATCAATTAATATTTAACAATCACATCATGCATTCCATTGTTTTTAGTTTGAGTTGAAATTGAAGACTGTATTTATTTTATTTTTTATATATAATGTCTGTGTTTGATTGTAATTAAATTTATTTATATTTAACTTAAACTTTATTTGATCATTTTTAATCATTTTAACATGTTTTTGGGGCCTTACAATAGGATTAACAATTTTTGTTCATTTTTATCATCCCTTATAATTCATGGGTACTGTCTAGTTGATGAATATTGAGTATTCTTTAAGGCCTTGGTTTCATACTTCCATATCTAGCTAATTATTCCAAAGTTTTGGCTCCTTCAAGTTTCTGATTAATTAATGTTTCATTTAATACTATATTGCAATGTTCGGGTAAATTATGATTAGCTTTGAAATCCATTTCTTGATCATTATTCATCTTTTATGTGCACTTAGGAGCCATTAATCAACCATGTTGGAGATGAACTTCCTGCTTCTCACTGCAATAAATCCGGATCAATTTGTCCTGGAAGTGACAAGGAGGCTGATCAACCAAGTCCAGTTTCAGTTTTGGAGGCCCCATTTGAAGAAGAGGAATTTAGTACTGGTTGCTTTGAAAAGATCAGTGCAGATCTTCAGGGTAAATGATAGTAACTAGTCCCCTTTGTTCACTTTTCTATCGACTGAAATGGGCACCAAATTGTTCTATAACTATTTTATTTTGCAGACCTCAGGATGCAGCTTCAGCAACTCAAGCAAGAGTCAGCAAACAATTACACAGAAGATTTGGAAGTAATGATCTCCAGTGATGAAGATGCAGCAGCAGAGCCCTTCCCTGAGTATGCAGGCATAATTCAATCATTTAGAGACGAAGAGGAGAGAGATTACTCGTACGTACTTGACATCCTCATTGATGGTGACATTCTTAAAGCTGAACTAGATGGGCTCTTTAGTGCATGTCACTCACCTGAATGTCCAGTCAGCCCAAACTTGTTTGACAAGCTGGAAAAGAAATACATTTCGCTTGATTCGTGGTCCAGGTCAGATCGAAAACTATTATTCGATCTCACGAATTCTATATTAGCCGATATAATCGAACCGAAGGCTCGGTGGCAATTAAAAATGGTTCATGATGGCCTTGTTGAGGAAGTATGGCAGGGAGTGGTTAAGAAAATGAAAGAAGTAGAAATCAGTTCAGTAGAAAATCAAACTGAGCTTAGATGGGCAGATATAGGAGATGATCAGGAGCTTCTTGGAAGACAACTGGAGAATATGCTACAGGAGGACCTTCTGGATGAGCTTCTTATTGAACTTACAACCTATATTGAGGGTGTAAAGAGCTCTTTATGAAGTTTTAAGTTCGTCTTCATCAGCAACTTACTATCTTTTATCATAGCTGATATGAACCAGCGATTCATGCATACAGAAATGAGAAAATATTATATACGTCTAACTGTAGTGCTGCCTGTAACTATGGTACTTGCTATTTGTGAAAGCTTTTGGTAATGGTAATGAAAAGAAGCTATGCTGTTAAAAGAAGCATTATTTGTCTTGTGTCAGGCCTGTGCTGTTTGGAAGTAAAAGCTGGCTGGTTAGTTATTTCTACATTGATCAAGTTGCTACAAATATTGATAATTATAAAAAAAAAGGTTATTTTATTGTCAGTGAAAATTTCTGTCATGAGGCTCTCGATATATAGTGAGTGTTAGTTCTTTTAAGCTTGCAAGCTTCTCCGTATGGCTGAAGATTCAAAATATCATTCTTGTGTCTAAAGAGCAAATTCTTATAGCTTCCATAAATTGGAAAAATAGACTCATACCACCTGTCAAATATCAACTTAAATGTTGTCAATTTAGTGTCCCAATGCTTTAATATATGATATTTGATATATCATAAAAAAAATTAACTTGATCGGGCAAGAATCTCGAGGCAAAATCAAGTTGGAAACTTCCGAAATCAAATCTAGGACCAACTGAATTCTAATTTCAGTTAACTTATAGTCAAACTGAACGACTCAAAAATAGGAACCCAACAACACCAAATTCTGACTCAATCCGAGATAAAATGGGTCCAAATCAAAGACCCGAAGTGCATTTAGAAAGTTAAAACCAAAATTTGGATTATCAAACGATTTCTAAACATGACATGATTATAGTTGAATCGAGTGGCTCGACGGGACTAATCCAACAAGCCCAAGATCGTTGAAATCTGACATCATTTAGGCATTCAAATGCCTAGTAAACAGTGCATGATCAAGGGGATCAATATTGGCCGTTCATTCAAACCACTCATAACTTACCATTAATCTATCTTATATTTACCGATCATGCCTCTCTAAGAAAACTATAAATAGATTCCTCATTCCTTATGAAAGGGAGACTGAAGCAAGGGAGAAAGAGAGGAGGAAGGAAGAGAAATCTGATATTTTTCTTGCCACCAAGCTCCTCCTTTATCACCGCCCGAACTTTCACCGGACAACTATCCATCGCTAGACTTCCGCCGGACCATCGCCCGTCCTTGAACTACCATCACACTTCTGCCCGACGTCGAGATTCTGTCCATTGTCAGACTTTTGCCCGTCGTCGTCAGACTTCTGTTTGGCAACCGACTAACGCCAGACTTCTGTCAGCTCGCCAACTAACACTGGACTTCCACCCTGCTTCCAATTATTGTTGGACTTACACTCAGCTACGAACTGATGCTGGACTTCTGCCCATCCACCAGCCGTCACCAGATTACGACCATTCTGACCTCTGTTGCCCGTGGACTATAGTCCTTCTTACCTCTGTTGCCCACCGACTACGGTCCTTCTAACCCCCATCGTTAGACAACAGTCTTGAACACTATCATCCACCAAGTATAACCCTTCTAACATCTGTCGCCCACGAACTATGATCCTTCTGACCTTTATCGCCTGCTAACTACGCTCATTCTGACCTCCATCGCTAGATAATGATCTTTATGCCCGCCAACTATGGTCTTTTCAAACACTAGTGGATTCATTTAAATTGGGCCATGCCCCGTGATTTTTCCCCCTTTCTATGGGTTTCCACATAAAACTCTCGTGTCTTTTATGAACACAATACCCTCTCTTTTATTTGTTTGTGTGATGGATCTTCATACAAAGCTAAGACTTTAAACTTTATATTTCTCTATCGCCGTGAATATTCCATGCGCAACAATATTCTTGTATTAAATTTAGTCTCCATGCGCTCAATGATTTCTTGGATTTTAGACCGAGGTGTTGAAGAACTACGGTAGAAAATTTTGGATGCCTAATTATAATGCTTACATTCAAACTTTGGAGAGTATAACTATGAGGGCTACCATTGCTAAATATTTTTCAAAGTGCTACCATATTATGGATTTCTAATGCATGAAAACGCTAAGTACATGGTCAATAGATGCCAGCATATCCTTGAGCCCTTATTATGTCTAAAAAGTTCATAAAACTACCTCTATATTTAAGCCTCTTTAAACTTAATGATATTAAAACTTGAATGGCACAATTTCTACCTTCAATAAAGGTGAGAGTTAGATTATTGATAATTCTTAGGTTTCGTTAGGGACGGCTTTTTTACGGTTTCTTAAAGCAGTCTTTTAATACATAAGTTTTAATTTTTGTACTAAAAAATCATTTTAAGAAGCAGAAAGAAAGCCATCCCAAACGGCGCCTTAGTTAACCATCAAATACAAGCAGCAAAAATCGATCACTAGAAACATACAACTTCACTGCAACATCTATCGTCAATATCTATTAAAGGCTTCATTGGGACGGCTTTTTTACTGTTTCTTAAGAAACGCTTTTTAGTACAAAAATAAAAATTTTTAAGTAGAAAGTTGCTTTTATAAGCAGCAAGAAAACCATCCCAAATGATGCCTAAATTTAATCAAATAATCCGCAAGGGATATTTTATCTTTAATATTTTATTCACAATCACCCAAAAAAAAATTTATTGCAATAAAAAATTTATAGTTTTACTTTCCTAAAAATAAAGATTCAGTAGCAGAAAATGCAAATCTATTACCATTATCCACTCATACTTTACTCAGAATAAAAATACTTTATTGTAAGAAAAATGAAGATCTACTATCAAGCGTATTCATAACTTTCTTACCCTTCCGTGGCTGAAAGCTTATTATTTCAATTTTATTAATGCTATCATTTTTCTCCTTGAGAGGGATAGGCGCTGCTCTTAAACAGAAAAAAGATTTTTTCTCATCTAAATTTATGCAGCATAAAGAGCTACCACTTTCATATTTTGTATATATTTAAAACAACTTAGATTTTATTTGAGATAATTTTATTATTTATTTGATTTTTATAATGCAATCATAATTTCTATTTGGTCATTATTGACTACTTCTAAGATTTTTTTTTTGCAAAAAAATATTTTCTATAACAGCTTTTAAAGTTATTTTCTCCATAATAATTTTATAATCAGCTTTACAAAAAGTTATAGCCGTCCTAAACAGATCCTTACTTTAATATTAATGACCCTAAAATATTAGATGGTTTTCAATGGAATATAAAATTAAAGAAGTGAAATTAAAATGATAATTAACTAACTATAAAATCAATAATTAATTGAAGAAAAAAACTATTAATTAGTTACTCAATTATTCGACTAATACATGTCAAATTAGAGAGTTCTTAAGAAGCTTTGCTGACCATTTCTTCATTGAGAATTTCGATCGAGCTACATATTTATTAAATTCTTCTCTTATTTTTTGAATATAAAGAATTCTCTAATGCTTAAGTCGAACCTATTTAATTTATAAATTGAAGGTACATAACAATTTCCATAAATTTTATACACAAACTTATTTTATAAAAATCCCATATATGCTCATCTTAGAATTCTACACTCTTTTTATTTCCTATTGTTGATATTCTCAAAATAATTAAATTTAATTCTTGAACCACTTTGAATTCAACATAAATATATAATCATATTTATATGTTACAGAAGATTAAGGCTTCTTTTGGGATGACTTTTTTATTACTTTTTAAAGCAGTTTTTTAATACAAAAATGAAAAAAACAAAGGCAAAGCATAAATTCCTAAGAATATATAAATATTATCATGTCTCATACCATCTTATTGTTTTTAAAGCAATTTTTAAGACAAAGCACTTTTTAATTGCATCCAACACCATCAAATTAATATCATCATGCTGCATATCATCGAACTCCGATGAATTTCACAAACACACATGAAAATTGAATCCTTAAAATGTTACTGATATAGAATATCTAAAGACTAGATAGCATAAAATTATCATAATAGATGATCAAAGATGAACATCACTTATTTATTTCGAATAATTTGTTATTAATACACTCTTAATAGATCACAAAAATTTTTATTTTTTACTAAAAAATTATTTTAAGAAGCAGTAAAAAAACGTTCCAAATAAAGCCTAAATCAAACATCGCACAGTGCACAGAACAAAGCACTCAAATAACCCTCGCAACAACAAAACAAGCATAGAGCAATGGCTATTTGAGATGCAAACAAGATTCTCTTATTCATCCTCTCCAGAAATCTCAATAGACTTCACGTTAGGCTTCTTCACCACCTCCTTGGGTAAGACGACACTAAGCAGACCATTCTTCATGGACGCTGTCGCCTGATCTACCTTCACGTTCTCCCGCAGTGGGAATCGGCGGAGGAACTTATCATTGCCTCGCTCGATTCGATGCCAGCGATGGGTCTTCTCTCTTGCTCCCTCTTCCGCTCGCCGCTGATCTGGAGGCCTCTGTTTTCCATGACCTCGACCTTAACATCCTCCTTTTTGACGCCGGGAAGATCGGGCTCAACGATGTGAGCCTCCGGCGTCTCATTCCAGTCGAACCGCGAGTTGGCGAAGGTCGAAACCTTGGTCACAAAATTGGAGCCGGGAGCATAGATGGCATTGTCGGAGAACGTGGTGAAGCTCTCTAATGGATCCCATTTGTCAAATGATAAGGGTTCAAAGACTTTGTCTCCGCTAATTATCAACATCTAGCTTTTAATTCTTGAACAAGATTAGATTATGCGAAGGACTTGAGATTGGAAAAGTGTTCGCTTGATTTTGAAGAGAAGGATTGCAATGAGCATTTATGGATGAGGAGGAAAGAGGGAGGGCACCGCCTTGCTTCTCCATCTATCTTTCAACTTTTCTAGGCTTAGGTGGAAACAAAAAACTCTCAAAGCTTCCAGTTTCCTCCTGACTCGGTAGTCGGCCCCATTTACAGGGTGGGCTAAGTAGTTCATTTATGTGATTTATAGGCTGATGAATGATGTGGAGTATTTAATCTTAGATTTAGGCTAATACTGAACATGATGTGCGTGGCGACGTGGTGATTAGCACGGATGAATGAGTGGTTAGTTTAGATTATATTTAGGTGATATTTTTATTTTCTTTATATATTACAAATATACTAAATTTTGCTTATTTATGTAATTTTTTAAATAACTTATTTGTTTTAAATATTAAAAGTGATTTTTTTTCAAAAATAATTTTATTTTTTTCTAGCCTGTTATTATTTCTCATAAAGAA